CACAACCCATTTTGAGCCACCTCTTCCTGCAAGACTTCCCCAGCCTTTCTCATGAGGATAAAATGTTTATCCTCCAATGCATCTGTAGCCCAGCACCACGTATTAAAGTTACCTATTTGCACATCTGTGGCCACCATCAACATGATAATGCTCCTCTAGGGCAGAAGCTGGGAATTCTGCCCTATGTTCCAAGGCCCCAAAACAATGTGCTTTTAAGTGAAATGCCAATCATTATGGTAGGCTCTTTTCATAATCCTCTTTAAATCCCATCAGTGGTCCTGTGGGATAGATACTAGCCTCATTTTATGGAAAAAGAACTACAGAGGGAAGTGACTTGCCCTTAGTTCCTAGACTAATAGTTGGATTCCAACCACTACCATCTAACTCCAAAACTCATGCTTTCTCCACCAAGTATTGCACTTCCTGTATAGTCCAAGGTCTGACTGATTAGAACAGGAGTTTTCAATATGGGGTAAAAGCTTTACAGGAGGTAAATGGGCATAGAAACTCAATTTCCAGATCTTCATGTTAAAAGTGATTATCCAGAAAATAATCATCAAGATTATTCTTAAGATCCAGTAAAAGAGACATGGACAGACATATACACAGCTATGTTCATTGCAGCTTTACTCACAATAGCAAAAAGATGGAAACAACCTAAGTGCCCTTCAATGAATGGATGAAAAAGCAAAATGTGGTACATACATACGACAGAATATGATGCAACTATAAAGAACGCAAGTCTGTGAAACATAACGTGTGAATATGGAAGACATAATGCTAAGTAAAATAAGTCAATCACATAATGACCAATATTGTATGATCCCATTTTTATAGAAGACAAGAATAGATACACATATACAGAGACCAATTGCAGTGCAGTGAATTGCTTAATATGGCCCTTTTAGTCATTGTCTAGAATTTTGTGATACATTGTAAATCCTAGCCTCTATGCCAGTGTTTATGGTGTCTCTGGGGTGAGTTTTCTGTTGCATTAAGGAGACAGGATTAGGGTGGAATGTATCTTGAGTTCTGCCTTGTGGTGGGGGAGGGGTTGACTCAAGTTACCACCCTGAGTTTTCTAGAGGGTATATATATGTGAATGCTCTGGTAAGGTTTGCTCTCATGCTCTGGATCCTGCATCTGGTTCATAATCATCTCACCCCAGGTTCTAGGGATTTGAGACAGCAGCCAGTCATCTGATCTTCTGATTTGGGTTCATCAGCCCCTGCAAACACATGAGTGAGGAGAATCCTCTAGACCAACGCCTGACCCATGTATTTAGAACTTGTCAGCCATCAGCACCGTGTGACCATGTCCTTGGCAGTTTGTGAGTTCTGTGAAATGTTACAGTGAAATACAGAACCATAAGATGGAAAGATGTTTAACTATGCAAGTAAAGCAAAGATGTTTACTTGTGTTTCATTGACTGTGCAAAATCATTTCACTGTATGGATCATAACAAGTTATGGATAACATTGTGAAGAATGAGAATTCCGGAACACTTAATTGTGCTCATGAGGAACCTGTGCATAGACCAGGAGGCTTTTGTTAGAACAGAAGAAGGAGATACTGCTTGGTTTAAAATCAGGAAGGTTGTGCATCAGGATTATATCCTTTCACCATACTTATTTAATCTGTATGCTGAGCAAATAATCCAAGAAGCTGGACTATATGAAGAATATGGCATCTGGATTGGAGGAATGCTCATTAACAACATGCAGTATGCAAATGACACAACTTTGCTTGCTGAATGTAAAGATGACTTAAAGCACTTACTAATGAAGTTTTAAAGACTACAGTCTGCAATATGGATTACACCTCAACATAAAGAAAATGAAAACCCTCACAACTGGACCAAAAGCAGCACTCCGATAAATGGAGAAAAGATTGAAGTTGTCAAAGATTTCTTTTTTCGGTTCTGCAATCAACACCAATGGAAGTAGCAGTCAAGAAATCAGATGACAGGGACTTCCAGTAAGATGGAGGAATAGGCAGACAAGCGACACAGACCCTCTTCAACAAAGAAAAGAAAAAAACCAATTGACAGAGATACAGAAGATAATCTTGGAACCCTGAGCTTTGAAAGGAACTATACAGAAGTGGATTAGGCACCAACTAGTGGAAAAACCTGAACTAGAACAATGAGTACAGAGATGGTCGGAGTTGTGGACTGTCAGCTACTCTGACGAGACCAACAGCCTGATTATTTCCAAGTGGTGTTGGGACCTGAGAATTGACCTAAAGATGAGTCCTGGTCACTAAGGGCTGCAGGGACAACTACTTTGGTGGCCTCTGACTAGGAAGGGAAACAGCAAGGAGGGAGGCAACCTGAGCTGTGGACTTTCTGCTGTCCGGAGGGTGCAGCCATTTTGATTGTTTATACGTGACAGCCATTTTGGATATTTAAAGTGACAGAGAGTGCAGCCATTTTGAATGTTTACAAGTAGTGGCTATTTTGGATATTTAAAGTGACCAGGGTGCAGGCATTTTGAATGCTTACCAGTGGCAACCCTCTTGAATTTTAAAGTGATAGCATTCTCATTTGAATTCCAGGGACCTAAGAACAGGCTCTGTTTGCCAGGGTCAGCAAGGACATATAAGAGGTTGCCAAAGGAAAGGAGAAAGGTGGTGAGTACTGTCAACTAGTGAATAGAGGAGGACAGTGCAGTACCCTGCCCGTATAGATAACATATAAATGAAACAAAGAAAACGAAAATTGTGGGCAAGTCACTCCAACAAATAATCACCAATTAAATATAAACACAAAAATGTCACAATGACTTGGAGACAACAGACTATCACAGTCCACACAAAGAAGCAGGATAAAGTGGTAGAAACAAGGGAGCAGGATACAGACACAAAACACATCCCTGAGGAAGATGCAGCATTGGAACTCCCTGAGAAGGAATTCAAAAGAATTATATTTAGGTATCTTCAAAGGATTGAGAGACAGACCAAGGAAAACACAGACAAAACCCTAGAAGAATTTTGGAGGCAAATGCA